GATTTACTAAATAAAACGGAGTTTTAACGCCAACGCAATATTTATCCTTTGCAAGCACAGAATAATTCAGGAGTCAAATGCAAAGAAAGTTCCATAAAAGGCGAATAGCTTTAAGGGGTACGCGTTCATCCAACCTCCACGAGTCAGTTTATACGTAATTCAAATTCATTTCACAGGATTTACGAAGTTATCTCTATTACTCAAGTTTTTTTATTTATTTTTAGATCTGATGTTTTACATAAATGGCATGATGGCATAAATGGTTCCAATTTGGAATTTTCTTAATTTCTAAGTGCCTAATCATGTGTTTTGTTTTCTCGAACTGCAAAAAGCTTGGAAAAACCAAAAAGGGCGAATTTCCTACTATAGAAACAGAAAACAAAAAAGTCGGTTGGGCTTGGCCGGGAATTGAACCCGGGACCTCTCGCAATTCAGAATAACCCTAAGCGAGAATCATGCCACTAGACCACCAAGCCTTAATTGTAGCTTTAAGGGAATTTTATCACTTATTGAAAACTTATTTATGCATGGTAAAGTATAAAACAAGTATATCACGAGTTTATCTGTCAAAAAACACGATTATGATTATAAAAAAAAAAGGTAACAAAAAAAAAATATTTTTTAAATTGTTTTATTACACCAATTCCCAAATATATTTGATATTATTTTAAAATGTATAATGAATTGTGAGGAATATAATTATAATTGTATGATTTGTGTGTTTTTGATCATGAAATTTTTTACTAATTTTTAATCATGAAATTTTTTTTTTTTTTTTTTTTTTTGTTATAATTAACGTTAGACATACTCTTGAAAAAAGACCCTAATAATACTTTTTTTAAAAAATTAAAAAAAAAAAAAACAATATTTGTGTAAAAGAAAGTTATGAATAAAGAATAAGATATGAAATGAAAAGATATACCTAAATCCAAAATCGATCATAAATATATAATAATAATCAAAATAACCATATCACTAAATAAATTTATTCATATAATATTATAATATAACTAACTATTGGAGGGTGTCCAATTTCATTCTATATTCATTCCAAGCCCACCATTCTTGAGTCCATCCTTTAGCCCACACAACCCCAAGATAAACTGGATTTATACCCTCTTCATTATCATGATTATTAATTTTAATATTATCTTTATTATCATAACTGTTTGCTTTAATTGTTTCACGACTACTATCCTCGAAATGATTTGTATGATCTGATTCATTCTTTGATTCATCATCTTGGAATGCTCCATTACTGTTAATGTAAATAATATCACTGCTATCAATATCCTTAACGTTGTCTTTATTGTCATCATCCTTATTGAAATTATTGGAAAGATGAGTTTGATGATCTAATCTAAAGACAAATTCTTGAGCATATATGACTAATTTTTGACCTCCGGATTGACGAAACATATCTTCCAAAGCTTTTGCCTTTGGACTGTAAGATCCGACCAAAGAGGCAATGTCAACCCCTGTAACTTGAACCCCATCAATTTCTAAACGTATCCCGTTTAATGCTTCTCGCATATTTCGATTTGTGCTCAAATGTCTTGAGAATTGGATTTTTGAATTTTCCCCACAAATGTCGCCCAAAGTTTCTAAAGCCTTTTGATCCTGCTCATTCAAAAATTTCGTATGAAAACGTATTGAGGCATCAGAAGATTCTAATTCAAGTGTGAGAACAGCACCCGTAAAAAATTCAATGGTGGAAGATCCCTCGAAATTAGATTTAATGAATTCCTTGTGAATTGGAACATCACGCAATGATAAAAGAATTTTATCGGCTGAAGTGAAAGGATCCTTGTAACTTAAAGGTGTTGGAGTTTCTGCTTGAAGTAGTCTTGCAAGTCGACATAAACCGTAGAACCGCGCATCTTCTAATAAACTTTCCCTAAACAAGTCAAGTGACATGCCAGGAGGTAAGTTAACAGAAGAAAGTGGAAATATGGTATAACCTCGAAGATATCTTAAAATGACTTCAAATGATCGAGGATCCCTATCAATCGTGATTTCCTTGACGCATGCATTAGGAGAAATATATGTTTGAGTGCTAGCACTAGACTTTGTTTTGTTAAAATCAATTTCTCCAACACAGCTATCACCAGTTTTTCCAACGTTGTCCAAAGTAGTAATACTTGTCTTATCTTTCCGTGTGCTTGATTCGGCAGTTAAGGTAGCGTTAGTAGTAGAGACACCTGCATCGTTTTCTCCTGGTGTTTCGTCAGAAAGAAAAGTTTGAGTAAAGAAGTTAGGAGAGTCGAAAGTTATTGAAGAACGATAAAGACGAAACGTTTGTTCGCCAACATGAACAATATAAGAATTCATAATAGGTGAAGTTGAAATTGAAGAATTTTCGCTAAAGTTATGACCGGGCGACATTTTATTTATGGAAGATATTATAACGGAGTGGCAAAAAATAAATTTTTTTTTTCCTTATTTATTTCGACATCAAAAACATTTAACATGTATTTTTTATTAGAATTGTAACACAACGAGTGTGCACTGTTCAACTTTTCACAGTTTCTCACAGGTTTCATGGAAACACCAACCCCAACAACACATCAAACCCCATTCAAATCTGCGTCAATCCCGAATTTGCGGCGAACCTGTCTATTAATATCCTGTCAACGTGTATAAAAAAAATATATATATCATTGTTGCATCTTCAAAACACTTTTCCCTTCTTGTTCCTTATTTTTTTTGGATCTGTAATCATCTTGTGATTAACAACATTATTTCATGTTACAAAATTTTACAAGTTAGATTATTTATAGAGATACAAACAAACGATATCTGAAATATAATAAATTTTAAATATTTTTAAATTAAATAGGTTAGTAAACAAATTAGAATTTTTTAATTAAATTTTCCGAAGAAAAACGAATTTTTTGATTGGATCTTCCGCAGTAATTGATATATATTGAATTGGGCAAAATTAAGCATAAAACCGACTAGAATTATTCAATTATTCTCCACTAATTATTTATTACAATTATATTAAGAAAATATTAACCATGATTTACATAATAATTTTGTAGTAATTAAACGCGTCTCACTATTACAATTGGAACTTGCAAGCTGTATAGAACAAAGTTCAAAAGTGAATAATAACCTTACGCGTTTTCTTCAGTTTTTACAAATTTTTCAAAGGATCTTCGTTAATATCTATAGGATCTCTTTCAATACCTAGTTCCTCGTCCTATTGTTTAACCACCAAAAGAATTTAATTAAATGAGCACGATTTACTCATACCAGTTTCTAACTTACCTCAAACACCTGTTTCTTCATATCAATATTCTCCAACATCGTTGAGACAATTTCGTCAAACTATAATAAATAAATAAAGAGTAAGTTTTTTATATTTATGTATTTGTAAGGAAAAAGATCTTTGAAAAACCTATATAACAAATCAGATTTATTACCATTCTTTTTCTTTGTTTCCAGAATTTACGATTTCTTTCAAACTTATCATCAATTCGTTTTGCATCATCAGCAGAAAATTGTTTTGTGCCCGATCGTAATTCTTCTAAACGTTCTTCATATTTTTTATTCTAATTTAGATAGAAATTTTAAATTTTCTCATCAAGTTAAATTACCGGTCTGCTTTTATTTTACAATACTTTATTCAATCATAATTTCACGCGATTTACCTGTTCAGTTAAAGCCTTGATCCTAAAAAAAAAAAAAGAAAATTAATAAATCCAGGAAATGTAAAAAGTTAATGATTTAAATATCCTCTAATGCGGAAGTTTTTTTTTATTTTAAAAACATCTACCTCTCCTCGCATTGTTCATTAGTCAGAGAATTATTTAATGCAGTCAGTTCTAGTTGAAGCGCAAATAAAATTAAAGTCAATTCTCCTATGGGTTATGAAATTAATTTCATTCATACCTGACGTTAATTGCCTATTTTTCTCCTTGTACTCATCAATTTCCTTTTTAAGTTCGTCAATTTTTACATCCATATCGTTCAATTCTTCCTGAGAAGGTGACTCAAATTGGTCCTAAAATCATTTTAAAGTTAATTAATCAAAAAACAAAGTAAATAAACCGAACTTCCTAAACGGATTTACCTGATTGATGACATAAACTGATTGTTTTCCATAAGGTTTACAACAAACTTCAGATTTATCTACAAGGTTACTCAAGACCTTTTGTGCAATAACTTTAGTGACAGCTCCATGAAGATTACTTGAAATATCATCTATTCAACAGTTATCCAGTATTACCGATTTAAGAATCAAAAAAGTATATTAATTGGTTCAAATTATTGGAAAGTATGGATAATACGGAAAGGATACTAGCACTGTAAGGTCGATTTGTCTTTCTCAAATAATCTAAAACCATCTGTTCAGCTATTTTTAATCAAAACCTAAAAGAATTACTATAAGTCCTGTTCACCAATATAAATAAATAAACAACTTAAATACCATCATCGCCTTTCGCAGCGGAAGCTTTCTTTGGTTTAACCATTCAGGAAAATAATTTCTGTAAAATTTAATTATAAAAAAAATTATTTAAAAAAAAAAAAGTTATGGTTGAAAAAAGGAAAAGGAAAAACTGAGTTGATACGCGAAAGGATGAATTTATATGCATTTTCAATTTGATCAACACGCGTCATATAAAATTCAAAGTATTATAATAATAATAAAAAAAAAAAAAAAAAAAAAAGTTTAAATTTAAAATCTTCTTAAGTATATAATTCTATAAAAGATATTTAATAATGAAACAAAAAAAAAAAATTTTTTTCTTATTTAATTAATTCTAATATTGATACATTGATAAAGTTTAAAAATGGGAGAACGCGGTCAATTTGATCAAAACGCGTCATATAAAATTCAAAGTATTATAATAATAATAATAAAAAAAAAAAAAGTTTAAATTTAAAATCTTAAGTATATAATTCTATAAAAGATGTTTAATAATGAAACAAAAAAAAAATTTTTTTTTCTTATTTAATTAATTCTAATATTGATACATTGATAAAGTTTAAAAATGGGAGAACGCGGTTTAATTGGAAAAAATATCAGAAAGAAAGCTCCTGAAAACCCTTTTTATCGAAATGGTCTCTTTATTTCAATCAAATATACAAATTCTTTTTTCTTTTTATTTCGTTTTCAACATTTACAATGATCGATTTGTAGGTCCAAGGAACGCTTCAAGCGCACAAAGACGAAAATCTAATGATTATGGCGCAGTAAAATTTACAAATAAGGAAACAAAAGAAACCAAAGCTCAATCGACAAAGAGAAATCATGCAAAGTCAGAAAGATACGGTCAAATATTATCCGACAATGAACCTGGCGATTATAATGAACATGATGATCATGATATTATTGAAGAGGAAAACGAAACCAACTACGTTACTAATGATGGAAGAAGTACTGGGTAAAATATAAGAACTTAATTACATGATTTTGATTTTAAAAGTATATTTATAGCAATCTGCAAACTTCAAATTAAAGGTTAGAACTAATTTATTTATTTTTTTTTTTTTTTGAATGAAAAGGAGCAATGATATGGCCGAACTAATTGGTCTCCTTCAAAGTGAGCGACATAACCGATCATTTTGTTTCATAATCCAAATTTCATCATCTCACATGAAAAATAATCGATGTAGCAAAAACTAAGAGAAGTGCTACATTGAAATTTAACAAATTTGAAAATGAACAACAAGCACGGTTGGAAGAAGCTAGGAAAATGATCGATGGTGAAAATGGAATTATAGCCGCATGGGCTATAGAAATGTTAGTATTATGGTAACGGGGGTTAACTAGAATTTCTAATAATTGTCATTTCATTATATAGGGAAGCAATTACATTTACTGCAAAAAGAAAGATTGATGATCGATTAGAACAAGAGAATGAATATATTAAGAAACTGAAACTCGAGCTTGAGAGATATCAGGTTTAACTTGAAATAAATCATTCGAGCTGTGACATTTTGCTTTTTGATATTAAATCAACGTGAACATTTTAATAGTTGAGCACCACAAAAGTATTAGATAACCTCACGAAGCTTCATAAACAATGTCAAAAGTTAGGGCGGGATCTTGATAACGATCTGAAGAAATTATGTATGATATTAAAACATCCTTTTGCAATTTTCTAAAATTATGTCAACGAGATAAATTTCCATATACCGAAACTAGATGCGATCGACGAAGCTGAATTAAATGAAGCGTTAGAACAATTTATTAACCAGCAAAACCATGTTCATTCAGAATTATTGCATATAAACAAGGTAAAAGAAAAGAAAAAAAAATTAGTAATAAACCTTATTATATTTAACGATGATCTTTTTAAATACTAGGAAGATCATGATATGAAAGCAATTAAAAAGCGGTTATATGAGTGGTAATTATTTTTAAAGACGAATTGTTACTGCGTGTTCTAATAAATTTAATAAATTTGCAAAAACTATCGTTTAAGATCAGTAACATTGACAGTACAAAATTGCTTGGCATGTTTAAATTTAGATTTGAAACGTATCAACTAATCAAAAAAACAAGGAATACACATGGGCATGTTTGAGATAATATACCAAAGAATGAAAATAATGTAATACATATTCTTTGTATTATTTAGTATCCTTAAAAGGAGATTCGTAATTTATTTGACATAAAAGCGACTTTTTTTTTTTTTCACAGTCGTTTATTCCAACTTCTATCCTGTTACTTGATTGATAATTTTTTTTTTTTTTATTTTTATTTTTTTTTTTTTCCTTTGCATTCTTCTTAAAAATCGCCGGTCGATTTTAAACTTTGAACTTCCTACATATTAGAAAAAAAAAAAAATCAAAGATTCTTTCTCCTTAAGTAAAAATTTCTTTTCTAAAAAAAAATTTTCGTTTTTGATCAATGAAAAATCTACTCTTTTTCCCTATTCTTTACATTACGTTAAACGTAATAGTTGCTCAAGGTGAATTATTTTTCGGAAAAAAAAAGCGAAATCGTTAAAACTCCAAAATAACTTAGAATTAATTTTTTTTTTCCGATTTATATAGCGGCAGTAAATGTTGATTATATAACAATTGACGGATTAGACTACTTTAAGGAACATGGAGATAAATCAAACCCAGCATTAAAGTCGATAAATTCTTTTGCTTCAAGAGCTTTAAAACTAGACAAACCATATTCAGTAATAAACACAACGGTGATCCCACCAAATGGAGATAAACGAGAATATTTTTCATATGCACCATACTCATGGCCAAATTGTGATGGTATACCAAATGTCACAGATCCTCAAACTCAATGTCCTTACGAAACACGTGACGGAAAGACTAATCCTGATGTTAAAAATCTCTCTGATCCATCTGATTCGAGAAAAATGATTGATAGTGTAGTAAGCTTATCAATCTCTTATGAATTAAATGATGGTGATATAGCTGAAAATTTTGCTAGAAAAGCTGTACAATTGTTGGATGTTTGGTTCGTTAACGAAAACACTAGTATGCTACCCGACGTAAATTATGGTCAAGTACAAAGAGGTCCCGGAGAATGGAAAGGAAGGGAAGAAGGAATCCTTGATTTACGTTTTTACGTAAGTATCTTAATTAATAAATTAGTTCTGATTGTTTCTTGAATCAATTACGCGATAACAATGAATCTTTCCTTCTCCTGTTAGGTGTACATTCCAATTGCGATTAAAATTCTTGAAAAATCAAGTGCATGGAGCGATTATGTCGAAAAAGGATTAAGAAAATGGTTTTCGGATTTTTCGAATTGGTTAATGAATTCTGAATTAGGGAAAGGAGTAGCCAAAAGATCCAATAACCATGCAACGTTTTACATAGCTGCATTGGCGACATATTTGGATTTTGCTGGGAGAACTGACGAAGCAAAAAATGTCATTAAAACATTTGTTGATACTACATTCCAAGATACCATATTGAAATCAGGAGAACAGCCGAAAGAAAGCAAACGAACAAAACCATTTCATTATCAATGTTTTAATTTAGAAGCTTTAACATATATTGCTATACTTTCACAAAAGATAAATGGAATAAATTTATGGGAAACCAAAACAAAATTTGGTGGTACTATTCAAAATGCCGTTGATTTTCTGGTTGATTTAGTAGATAAGGGTAAGGTCAAGGAAGTGGAATCCGTTCTTTTGCCTTCTTTATATAAATCTAGAGATTATTATGGTGATAAATCTGGAAAATATTCTAAAATCTTAAATAAATTGTTACAAGAGACAGATGGTGCTATTGAATGGTGGACTGTATATAGTCCAAAGAGTTTAGAAGGAATTAAAACAGGTTCCGCCTCAGCTTTACTTGGCAGTTCATTATATGGTATCTTCGGTTTAATTTTAGGAATTTTCTTTGCTTTTTAATATAGAAAATTAAAGTTATTTAGTTTTTATTTATTTATTTATTTTCCTTCCCTTTCTGAGATAATATAGATGTGTAAATTTTGTAAATTTTTATACAAAAACAATTAATGTATTAGAACTTAATAAAAAAAAAAAAGTCAATTAAAATAATTATTAATATATACATATAGTATAGGGTTTCCGTTTGAAAATTGTAAAATAAATAAATGATTCGGATATCGAAATTGATTTCGAATATCGGGTTTATCGATCGATTTTTATTTTTTTTTTAAATTTAATATTTTTTTTTCTTCGATCGATTCTTTTTTTTTTAAAAAATTTTTTTGATATTATTTTTTATTTTTTTTTCTTTTCGAAATGATTTTCGATACCTGAAATTATTTTAAACAACTTTCAAATATTTGTGAAACCCTAATATAGTAGCAATAGCGGACTTACTTATATCACCTTGTCGATCATTTGTCGATCATATATAAATGAATTTAAAAACTTCGGGTAACACAGCATATGATCGGGCGAACTCTACAATAAATTCAATATTTTTAAATCATGTAAAACGAGATTATAAAACAGTAAATCGAAAGATTAGCTTAGGGCTGAAATAAGTAATTAAGTAAATTACATAATAAATAAGACTTCTAAGATTTGGGCAAAGCCATAAATGCGTGGCCAAACTATTCCGATCATAATATTTGATATTTTAGGTTATGTATAATATATCACAATAAAATTTTAAATAACACAAAAGTTAGCTTTGAGTCAACTTTCTGAATATTTCATAATATTATTATAAATATTAATAATTTAGACTTCAAAGTTTTGGACTAAAACATAATATTTGATATATTAGGTTATATAGTCTATAATATAAATGTATCACAATAAAATTATATATATATATTAATCTAATTTAAATTTTAAATAAAAACTTAATTATCTTTTTAAACTTTATTTCAAATATTCAAAAAATGTCAACAACAGATATCAATAATTGTAACTTTTACATAAATAATATATGTAAAGGAAGAATTAGAAAAATTTCAAATGAAATAGATATTTTAGAAATAAATAAAAATATTATAAATATTAATATGTTACTTTGTTAAACGTATTATAATCAATTAATACTAAATAATGTATCAAAAATTAAAAGTTATTAATATCCTAAACATGATATTTATAAAACAAAATTAACAAATTTATTTAAAATTTCAAAAAGATTAATTGAAGTATTAGAATTAAATAAAAATACAATAATTTATAATATTTGTAAAAAAAAAAAAATTGATAATGATTTAGAATATTTATAATATAAAAAATAATAAGCACTATTAACTAGAAAAAATAATTATGATAATTTACAAAATGATTTAATAAATAATAATAAATATAAAAATACATGTTAATATTCAAAATATAAAATTTATTTAAGTAAAACAAAATCAAATAAAACAAAAAATTATACAAATAAAATTCTTATCAAAATTCCAAAAAGATTAATTAAATTATTAAAATTAAATAAATTTACAATGATTTGTAATATATGTAGAAAAAGAACTAATAAAAATCTAAAATATTTAAAATTTAAAAAATATAAGCATTAATTACTAAAAATAATGATAATGATGATAATATATTAAAAATAAGAAATTATAATTATTCATTTAAAAAAGATATTTTATATATTAGAGAAAAATTAAAGCAATTAAAATCAGATTATCAAAAAATTATAAACAAAATTAATAACTTTAGTAAGATATTATCATATAATATAATTATATTATATGATAGTATTCCACTTGTCTTAGATTATATTACCACTATATAATTTAGATACCATCATATGATCTAAATACCACTATATAATTTAGGTACTACCATATAATCTAAATATCACTATATAATCTGAGTACCACTATATGATTTAAATAATATAATTAAATTATCACTATATAATCTAAATAATATAATCTAATTATCATTATAATCTATTTATTTTCACGTATCAGGTATTTATTTTATATTCTAGCTATTCTTTTAAATTTTTCTTGCTATTTGTATTTTTTAACTCTATATAATTTAACTACCACCTACCATTTAATCTAATTACCACTATATAATCTAAATACCATGCTTTTCTTCTTATTTCTGAGTCATTTACATACTAAATTCTATAATAGAGTTATTGGTTCTCTGTAACTGTTTAGATATCTGATTTTATGTTAAGGATGCTGACCTCTCGCGTCTAATTAGATACTAGATTTTATATTAGAGTACTTACCTTTTACGCTTATTTGGTTGCCTTTTTAGATACCAAAATGTGGTAAAAAAATATGATATCAGGTGAAGCAGTAAATTCGTGATTAATTTCAGCTAGCACTTTACCATAATTTTAGCCAATCTTTTGGACATATGATTTGAGAATTTAGCTTAATATCATGATGGTGACTTGATAGTGTCCTGAAACTACTGAAGAGCTATTATGAAACTAGTGAGAAACTATCATAGAAGTATTATAGAACTAGCAGTTTGTCAGCTTGGATAATGATTATTATGTTCAAGGATTTGGCCGAATTTATATACTAACTGATTTTATACTGTGCTTTACTACACTAGTCATGTAATTCTATTATAGTACTGAACACTCTTTCATAGTTATAGGTTAGTGACAGAAATATTTCCATAAAATTTCTGAAATCTGCAAAAAAATTAATGATCAAAACTAGTAAAGAAGATTTTGAACGATATGGTCTAGAAGCTAGTCCTGCTATAATAGAATGACAAATCATATTAGATAGCTTACACAATATCACTAGCTAAGTTTAATTCTAATTTTTGACTACTTATTTACTATTAGAAATGGAGGCCAAGGTATTATGCTTTTTAGAGGTGTAATAAGTATTATTATGACTGTTCTATTTGTTTGCTAGAAGTACGCACTTTGTAATTAAAATAACTATTGTCTATTCGTTATCAGTATATATATACTAATTTTATGTTCTGAGATTCAAATTATTT